ATAGCTATGTCAGTCAGGGGTGTGATCTCTGACCAGCATAGCTGTGTTGGCAAGAGCCTCTAGTGCAGATGCAGTGATATCATAATAAAAGGTTTTGCTGATAGAGCTTATTTCACTCGGGGGGGTGCTGGCTGGAATAAGCTATAGTAGCAAAAGCACGAATAAGCCACAGTGTAAGCCACATCCACACTAGGAGCTCTTTGCCAGTATAATAAGCCAGTATAGCTACACTAGCAAAGCGCTGCTAGAGTAGACCTGGCCCTAGACGCAACAATAAATTAAACTTTGTTCCTGTCATCCTTATCCTATCACCCAGCTATGTTGTGAGCATGTTCCCTGGCATAGTCATTTTTATTATGTACAACTCAGAAACACTCCCTGTTCTCAATGGCAATGGAAAATGCTTTAGAACTATGCTGTTAACAAAGTTGTTTCTAGCACAAAGGCAGGGTTGCCAACAGCAAGCGTGCAAAAATCATGCATCTGGCCCCCCAAATCATGAGATTTATTTTAAAGCCATAGTAAAAGCCGGGTTCTTTTTATTTGCCTTCTGACTTTTCAGACTTTAGTATTCATGTTTTCAAAAGAGCTAAAAACTTTTTTTTTTAAATATGAAAGCTGATTCCAGGAGCTGGGGCTTTAAGAAAAAACCCTAAATATCATGAGATTTATTATAAAGCAGGAGAGCTGGCAACACCAATGCTATTTGCTAAAATACTGATTCTGGGCTAGATTATGGGATATAGTAGCCCAGGGAGAGGGAGGGAGGGTTTGTGGGTGGGAGACCACATCCCAGGAGGCGCAGCAAGGAGACTGTGCCTGGCTGAGGCACAATCTCTTTCAGACAATTTTGCTTGTTTCCTCGAGTATAGGGGTGCACATTTTGCACCAGCTATTAGGGCAGCTCAGAGCCAGGCGGGGGCAGGAAATTGTTGCATGTCTTGCTTAGGGTGACCAGATGTCCCGATTTTATAGGGACAGTCCTGATTTTTGGGTTTTTTTCTTATATAGGCTCCTATTACCCCTCACCCCCATCCTGATTTTTCACATTTGCTGTCCGGTCACCCTAGTCTTGCTTCCTCCCTTCCCTCTTTTCAGTGTCCTTTTGCCTGAGGGCGAACAGGAACAAGTAGTCTCTTGACCCTATATGTCAATTCCTGTGCAACAGGATCAGGAAATCTACCTGCACATCCCTCTGTGGCCAAGCACAACCTGGGTTTCTTGTGCAAGATAATATAGTAATAAAACCTACTAAGAAATGCTATGTACTAGATAGAAACAGCTCATTTTAAAAAAACCCAATAACTTTCTCTAGCATATGAAGAGTCTGAAGTCACTTCTTGTTTATGCATGTGTGCAGTCCTTTTTGTGTATATAGACCAAAGTTCTAGAGATGACTCGACACCAGGAAGCCTAGCGTTGGTAATCAGCATTTACTTGTTGTGGGGGGTATGAAGTACCCATTTTTACAGTCCATCTGCATCTTAAAAGCAAATACAAGAACGCTTTCCAATTTCTTGATTTTGTTTGTTAAAAATAAAGAACGTGCAGCATACTCAGAAAGCCTGAAAGAGAAGCAAGCTGAGCATTCTTACTGGAGCATAAGCACTTTGCCAGCTGCATCAATCAACCTGAGTGAGATGGACACAAGCGGTTTCTAGACTTGCTACCACTCCACAGCTACTGTAAAAAAATATTGGTATTAACCAGATACACTTGCAGCTTCATTAGGGCCCTGTCCACACTAAGATCAGGCCGCTGCTAGCTACAATATTTTAATCTCAGCACACACAGCTCCTACGGCCCTTTTATGCCAAATGGTGTAGTGGTCAGAGAGGAGATCTTGACAGAATTGTGGTAATTATACAGTATGAAATTAAAAAAAAAAAAATAGAGGAAGTTACAAAACTCTCCTGAATGTTTACTATCCAGTCTCCATTCACCAGAGAGTATATAGCAAAATGGTCATTTTAATTTTCTTGAACCAATGCACTGTATACATGCAGTGTAAGTAACATGTTGGGATGTAAGTGGGAGACACTGATAACTCCTGTCAATGATTTTTATTTTAATTACACCAGATTAGCAAGACATGTACGGCTACCTGGAAAATCCAGGGGTATCCTAGTCAGTAAAACATGGAATCAGAACTATCACTGAAATAATGGAATGAAGGACAAACAAGCCAGGTGTAAATGGTGCAGGACTCCTCATTGGCAAAAGTGGCATGAACTCCAGAGCTTCACTGTGCCTGTCTGCTGAAGGTTAACAAGGGTTTTTTCTTCACCACAGATGGGCTTGTCTACACTGGCAATTCACAGCGCTGCAACTTTCTCGCTCAGGGGTGTGGGAAAAAACACCCCCATGAGAGCAGCAAGTTTCAGCATTGTAAGGCGACAGTGTAGACAGTGCACCAGCGGTGGGAGCCACGCTCCCAGCGCTGGTAGCTATGCCTCTCGTTGAGGTGGGGGTTTTTTAGAGCTCTCCCAGCGCTCTGCCTTGACCACACAAGCCACGTTAAAGCACTGCCGTGGCAGCGCTTTAACGTTGCCAGTGTAGACTAGCCCAAAGTTAGCTCGAGGTATAACTTGAGCATTGCCTCTAACTTGAGTCTCATCCACACACAAAACACTTTAACTCTAGTATGGTGGTGCTTTAAACTAGAGCTGGCTGATCCATCAGGGGATATAGTCTAAAGCTCAAGTTAGCACAACTCATCAGCTGCTAGCACAACTACGCTATAGTGTGGATGCAAGTGTGCTTTACTTCAGCAACCCCAGTCCTCTAATGCCTTCCCATAATTCCCCCAGACAAGGTCTCCCACAATTCACTGGGAACGTATTCCTAGAAGTCTTAGTGCCACACGCGAGTGAGTGCTGCACTAGCATGGACATGGGACCTCAAGTGTGATTTTGCAGTGAGGCTGCTCTCACTCAAGCTAGGCTAACTCAAGAACATGTAACTCAAGTTAACTCTGCAGTGAAGACTGATCATCAGACTCACAATGAAGATCAAGACGGTCAAGATTAAAGCAGAACAGGAGAGCGCAAGAGAGACCAGGAGAAAGAGTGCATGTGTGTGTTAGGTTCAGAATTTGCCCTTTCCATTTTCACCAAAACTCTAAATTAAGGTTTTCTATTCTTGTGGCTATTAGGCATGATCTTACCAAGGATTTACTGTATAAAATGACACAGTATAAAACTTGAACAAGATGCACTGTGCAGTGCAGATGTCTTTGCTCCAAAATTACTCTCACCTAACCAAACTTTAAAAACAAAATCAGACTGCAATCACTCCAGTCACCACTGCAAATTGCAAAGGCTCCGATGAGCTAAACAAAGAGGAAGAATACAGTGAGCAGTTATAGGTCAACAACATGTGAATCCATTGGAAACTCTTTGGTCCTGATTCTCTGCTCAGGCACACCAGTTTTAGGGTTTGCCTACACTGGGTATTTTTGCACCAGTGTACCTGCATTGATAGAGCTACCCTGCTGCAAACCTCTAGTGTAGACATGATGCACCAGTAAAAGAGTGGCTCTAGTGCAGCTTATCCCTGTTTGAAAGCCCTGTCAATGAAAGCCACTTTTTATATCGCTGTAGTAGATCTACACAAATGCCCAGCCTACACACAGAGACAAGGTGGATGAGATAATATCTTTAATTGGGCCAACTTGTGAGAGAGACAAGCTTTCAAGATTACACAGAGCTCCGTGTAAGCTTGAAAGCTTGTCTCTCTCACCAACAGAACTTGGTCCAATAAAAGATATTACCTCACCCACCTTTTCTCTCTAATATCCTGGGACAGCACAGCTGCAATAACATTGCATGCAGCCTGCATATACACACACTTGAGCTTATTTAACTAAGAGTATGTGAGGACACACTTAAATCAATTTAAACCTGGCTTATATTGATTTAGCTTAATTTGGTCACTAACCAACAAAAGCTGAAGCAATATTAGGCAATTTAACAAAAAATTATTGAAAAGTTATTTTAATTAAACCAGTACAGCTTGTGTGTATAGATCAGCCTAGGGTTTGTTCTACTGTATGTACATCAGTGTGTAAAACTCTAGTATAGACAAGTCCTTATGCCAGTGTAAAACTGTTGTGAGGAAGTACAGAATCAAACCCTTTGTATCACTAGCTGGATTGCAAGCAGTAATCTAAAATATCCACGCAGGTGCCCTTCACGGTATCTGATAGAGTGACAGCAAAACACTCTCTATAAACAGCACCTTTCACCCAAGGATCTCAAAAGCCCGTTGCAAATAGAAACTATTAAAGCACTACTTAACAGTGTGATGCACCAACTGGTGGTAGTGGTGGGGGGGGGCGTCTATTTTGAACAAACTTCAAATAATTGCCTCAATCCTATGCCCATGAAGTCAATAACAGAACTCGCAGTTACTTTACTGGAACAGGATAAGGCCACTTCACACCAGTAAAAATGGCTGACATTTTCCAAAAGAGTGTAAGGGAGTCAGGTGCCTAACACCTACTGACCTGTAAAAATCTTTGAAAATCCCTTGAAAATCCCATCAAAAATGAAACTAAAATTAAAGACATAAAATTAAAACAAAAGGAAGTGGATTTTTTTTACATTGTATCAAAAAGTATAAATTTAAAAACCAGTTATCAATTGTCACTATTTAACAGGAACCTTAGGACCAAAAGTTTAACAAATGAAGCTTGTTATTTCAGGGCAATGAAGACCATGTTGATTCCTGGGCTTTGTGGCACAGAAGTGACTTGTGACTTCCTACGATTTCCTTTTCCCTCTGGAAAAACAACACATTTTTACAAGGTTTCATGTGATTGCACAGATATTGTTTTAGTAGCAGAGGACTGTTCAAATACTGCTTTTCATTTTCTTATGTTCATTTAGTTTTAGGAAGTGAGGAGTGTTTACTAATATTTCAAGCTAAAATAGTGTGTCAGAGAGAGTGAGACACAAAACTGGTGGAAACAAATGTTACAGTTCAAGCAAAATACTTACTCTGTGCCACTTTCAACCATCTGCGTTAGGAGAGAGATACCATCTAGATTTATAAATTCCTGGGCAAACGTAACATCCCGTGAGTAACTGGCTAAGTCTTTCAGTGCTTCTAACTTGGCATCCATACTAGAAGATTGGATCCTCTCGTGGAGCTGCTGTGCATTTTGAGCCTCACCAGAGACAAAAGAGAAAAAAAAAACATTAAAAAAAACCTCCTCAAACTCTTCATTATAAATGTATTGTGTAAATGATGTGCTGGGGCTCCTAATTTCTCCGAACAGAACGGATTATTATTTGTATTGCGCTAGTACCCAAGAGCCCAGTCTTGGACCAGTATCCCTTTGTGCTGGGCACTGTGAAGAAACAAACAAACACTGAACAAAAAAAAAGACAGTCCATGGCCCAAAAAGGTTATGTATCCTTAATATGAAGTGTGACCCAAACAATTAAAACTACCCCAAAAAGCAAAGTACATAAATGTAGTTTCTTTATAATTAGGACAATGGCAGTTCTTTTCAATCTACATTTACTCCATTCAACGCACTCTTCCATCACCCTTAAACAAAAATATATTATCCTACTCCAGATCCTATGCAGAGCGCACATGGTACTACTGATTTCTGTTTCCTCCGCTCCTTTCCCTACCTTTTTTCTTTTGCTTTTTCTCAGTTTTATATCCATGGTATTTGTATTTCCAAAGAACATGGGAATGATTTCCTCCTAAACTATATGACGTTATCACACATACATCATCTTATATCACTCAATTGAATCACATATTAAAAATATCCTGCCCATCAATGTTTACCTCGCTGATGAGAAATAATGGGAAATCTGACAGGAACAGAAAAAATAAAGAGCTAAAGGGATTTTTTTAAATTAAATTGTCCAGAAGCCACGTAAATCTGTTTTGCAAATACTTTAAAATACATTCATCTCACATTTTCAGTCAATGATCCCAGAATAACAATTACCTGGATACAATGTCCAAAAGCTTCAGCTAACAGCTAACCAATCTTTCTGCTATTGATAGAACCTTCCCTGCTATACTCAGATGCTTGTAAAATTCAATTTCCTACAACACACTTATGTGCATTGACTGAAGCATGAATCTGAAGCAGTAGCCAATTAGGAAACTGAATTAGTGGGAAGGCCTGGCACAGTCACTCTCTTTGATATTATATTTGCACTAGAGAAAGCTGAATTTGTTCTGTCTGACAATTTCTTTGCTATATAATAATTATTCTACACCTGCAAGGACAATGGCTTTTCAGTAGGTGCTGTGAATATCCAGGATTGAATGTATAAGTGAATATTTTTGAACAGGAGAGATCGGGAATAATAAAAACCAATATGTACTTTATATATAACCTTCTATTCATCGATTTCAGAATGCTTGATAAACATTAATAAATTAAACCTCCCAACATCCCCGCCCCCCCCTCCCAGGAGGTAAGGAAGGATAATTTTCCTCCATTTTACAGATGAGTAAATTAAGGCACACAGAGGTTAAGTGACAGGTTCCAGAGTGGTAGCCGTGTTAGTCTGTATCAGCAAAAACAATGAGGAGTCTTTGTGACACCTTAGAGGCTAACAAATTTATCTGGGCATAAGCTTTCGTGGGCTAAAACCCACTTCATCAGATGCATGGAGTGGCTAAATCGACCCTCAGTGGATCGATTGCCACAGCATTGATCCACGGTAAGTGTAGACATACCCTTAGATACAGCGCACAGGGGTGTGCACAACTCACACCCCTGGGTACTGCAGTTATGCCAACCTAAACCCTTGGCACAAACTGGCTAAGCTGGCAGAAGCATTCTTCCATTGATCTAGCTACCGTTGCTTGGGGAAGTGGAGTTACTACAGTGATGAAAATACCCCTGCCGTCGCTGTAATATGCATATACACTACAGAGTTACAGCGGCACGGGTATGCCACAGTAACTCCCATAAGCCCTCAGTCTCCATGACTGTTACATCTGGGAAGGATGACTAGCTGCCAGCATGGAAGTTTTGCAAAACATTAATATTTCTCAGAACAAATGTAACTTCTATGAGTTGTTACCCACTCTAGAATGGACATTTTGGAGGGTCTTCAAAAGTACTACGTCAGCTCAGCTGAACTCACTTTGAAAATGGTTTCAAGGACATCATTAAGCATGTTACTGAAACAAACCACCCTCAAAATCTATTTAGAAGACCTTCACTACTGCTGCGTGAAGAGGGTCACAAACTAGGATGTTAGGGTCCGTCTACATAGATATAACCAAGAAATTTGACAAGGACCATTAAAGGCAGTCACAAGACAGGATGGTTGGTTGTGTGAATGGGGCTAGATGTTGTCATAACTGTGCTTTAGTAAGAGTTGAGATCTAGTCTAATAGTCCATCTACACTGCAAAACTACTATGTTGGGGGATCACATGGTAACTTGATAATGGCCTGACCATGTTTTTTTATGACAGTTTGGTCTTGCCTGTGTAGATAGGACCAAAAACAAACAAACAGTTACAGAAATTTGCTGCAGCCTTGTAAAGGCCAACTTTTGCCACTGACTACAGAGGGGCCAAGATTTCACCCACGGCTGTAACAGTTCTATAACATGGTTGCAATATAGTTTGGTCCTTTCTACACAGGCTAGCCAAACCATGATGTAACCTAGCTAGGATATAATAGTAGTTAAACTCAGTTTTGTCTGTGTAGATGGGAGCTTACTCATGTCCTCGACTACATTTGTCTACACCAATGTTAATGCTACACCAGCAGTAGTGCAACAGCAAAAGATTTCCTGAAAAATGAATGTGGACATGGCTTAATAGGCCAAAGGTCAAAGTTTCTAGGCAGTGGTGCCTATGGTATGAAAAGCAACCCCCTGGACGTCTGTGCATCCAGAAACCTGCATCCTTTCTGCCATCAGAAGAGAGAAGAACTGGTACAGGCAGATCAGATCTTGATTAGAGAATAAAGAAATATTTTTCTTAGCAAAAATATTGGTAATTGTCTCATGTGGCAAACGTAATGTTGGCTATTGACATTACATGCCACATGGATGAAAATATTGCTGCACTGAACAACACGCAGCCCTCAAAAATCTCCTAGTTCTTGTTGCCATAGTGCTCATATGTGCTCTTACAGAATGCACAGTCTTGCTGAACAATGCATTAAAATGACACCCAGATGATGCATGGTGAGTGGTTACCAGGGTGTTCTTTTAATGATTTATAATTCATCAGTGGATGGACAGTAGAGAGCATTGCTCATTAAAGAACAGTAAAGCTGGCTGCCACATGTCTGTTCTTATTAAAGTATGATCCAGGTAGGAATAAAAAATAAAACCCTTTTGAGAAATATGATGAGGGGAATTAACCAGAACACTGCTGTTCCAATAAAGTAAGGGTTGTATTAAAAGCTCTCCAGTTTTGAAGAGGAGGAAGCGGAGGAGGAGAACAGGAAGCTTGTAAAATGCACTCTGTCAAAGCTGAAGTATTTCAAAAGGCCTTCAAGAAGCCTAAAATATCTGTCTAGTCTTGTTGAAAGGACAGCCAGGATAGGCTGCACTGTCTGAACTGCAGTGCTTAAAAGCAGAGACAGCTTCACAGGACTGTCAGTTTTAAAATAAAAAAGAAATGATCTAAGTCCAAGATGGGAATTTGCATAGAAAACCCATCAACCCTTTGGAGATTAGAAACTCCTACAAAGGGTTCCACTGACTGCTACAGATAAACAGCCACTGTACACTGCCTAAGTATTCCTTCTGGCAGAGGAGAATACTTCACACCCTGTATCTTTAAACTTTGCAAACAATTAACACACAAACTTAGGCCCTGTCTACACTGGCAAGTTTCTGCAGGGCCGCTCGGGGGCGGGGCGGGCAAGTGGGGCAATTTGACCCAGGCCCCGGGCCCCACAGGGGCCCCCATGAGAGCTTTTCGGGGCCCCTGGAGCAGGGTCCTTCACTCGCTCCGGGGGCCCCGGAAAACTCTCGTGGGGCCTGGGCCCCCGGAGCTTCTTCCGCTCCGGGTCTTCGGCAGCAATTCGGCGGCCCGCCGAAGTGCCCTGAAGACCCACGGCAGGAGGTCCTTCCCCCCGGGACCCGCCGAATCCTCTGGGCGGCCCTGAGTTTCTGCGCAGTAAAACAGCTTTCTGCGGTGTAACTCCCGAGGTGCACACACTGCCAAGCCCCTTAGTGTGCAGAAACGGCGTAGTTGCAGCGCTGTAAAAAATCCACCCCGACGAGAGGCGTACAGCTTTCTGCGCTGGGGGTATAGCGCTGTGGTGCCAGTGTAGATACCATGGTTGATTATAGCACTGTGATTGGCATCCGGGAGGTGTCCCACAATGCCTGTTCTTGCCTCTCTGGTCATCAGTTTGAACTCTATGGCCCTGTCCTCAGGTGACCAATCGTCATCCCCACCCCGTAAATTCCTTTGGAATTTTGAAAGTCTCCTTCCTGTTTGCTCGGTTATGCGTGCAGTGGTCTCAGCACATCTTTCCAGGTGGGCATGCCTGCTCCACGCACCAGGCGATCCTCCGCTTGGAGCAATGCTGAGCTGCTGGACCTTATCGGCATTTGGGGAAAGGAGGCTGTCCAGTCCCAGCTGCGCTCCAGCCGTAGGAATTATGATACTTACGGACAGATTTCACGATGCATGACAGAAAGGGGCCATGACCGGGACATACTGCAGTGCAGGGTCAAAGTGAAGGAGCTGCAGAACGCCTACCACAAGGCGCAGGAGGCAAACCACTGCTCCGGTGTTGCGCCCACTAGCTGCCAGTTCTACAAAGAGCTGGACGCAATACTCAGTGGTGACCCCCACCTCCACTGCAAAGACCACTGTGGATACTCTCGCGTGCCAGTCGAGAGTGTACCGAGCCAGGAGCAGGAAATCTTGGACGAGGAAGTGAAGGGGGATCCAGAGGCAGAGGATGACTACCCTGGAGGAGCCTAGCCAGTCACAGCTGTCAGAGCTTGGCGAAGCGCAAACAGGAGAGGAGGCCCCTGGTAAGTAGATTTGATTTTGTGAATCACTGAAGCGAGTTGTTGGGGGCAGAAGGGTTGCAGAAAGCAGCCTTGTCTCTGTATGATGCACGTACCACCACAAGCCTAGTTTGAGCGGTGGAACAGGCTGTTGATGGACTCCCTCACTTCACGGGAATCTGCTTCAGAGA